GAGAGGAGAGGAGGGGAGGGGAGGGGAGGGGAGAGGAGAGGAGAGGAGAGGAGAGGAGAGGAGCGGAGAGGAGGGGAGGGAGCGGAGCGGAGAGGAGGGGAGGGGAGCGGAGAGGAGAGGAGGGGAGAGGAGAGAAGAGTAATCGAAACCTCATCTTTGCAATTTCTATCGGAAGGACAGAAGCAGCTTGACTGGCGTTGCCTGATGCAATTTCAGGTTATCAAGAACATCATGGAACAACGGCAGTGACTTTGCATGGCAGAAGTAGAAGAAAACAGAACACAAGAAGAAAATAGAACAGAAGAAGGATGAAACAGAAGAATATCACACATAAGAGGGAACCGAAAACAACTTTGAAGATAAAAAAAACACTTCCATCAATCTGACTTCCATCGGAATCTTCTCCTCACCAGCACACGTCAGGGATTTGTTCCCAAAGAACTCAAGGTCGAAGGATGAAGGTCTTCCAGATCTGAGCGACCCGAAATTGTTCCAGATGATTGTGCCTGACCTTATATCAGTTCCTCCTCCACAGCCTCCTCCTCTCACAACGACTATCCTTCTCCTCCCTGCCCCATATGCTCCTTCTCCTCTCCTCTCCTTCTCCTTCTCCTTCTCGTCTCCTTCTCGTCTCCTTCTCCTCGTCTCCTCCTTCTCACCCGGCGCGCAGACATTGGGGTTGGCGATGTCAGGGGAGCAGACGTCGCCCATGCCGAAGACGAGAAAGGAGAGGACGAGGATCTGCCATGCCGCGTGTCCCAGCACGAACTTGACCATGGCAGGGGAGAGGAGGGGCTGGTCTCGCGGGCAGGGAGGGCGCTTGAGCAGGTCAGGAGAAGGGTCCTCGGAGGCGAGGGAGAGGGAGGCGAGGGAGTCCATGATCATGTTGACCCAGAGGAGCTGCATGGCAGTGAGAGGGCTCTCGGAGAGGACGGAGCCTCCCACGACAGCGAGGATGCAGGCAGAGCAGTTGACGGTGAGCTGAAACTGGAGGAATTTGCAGATGTTGTCGTGCACGTTCCTCCCCCACTTGACTGCCTGCAGGATAGAGGCGAAGTTGTCGTCGAGGATGATGATGTCTGCTGCGTTCTGAGCCACCTGAGGGAGAGGAGATGTGGAATGTAAGGGAGAAGGAGGGATGGAGAAAGGAGATAGGGAGGAGAACGGAGGAGGAAGGAGGGAGGAACAAGAGTGGGAGGAAGTGCGGAAGAGGAAGAGGCGTACAGACGGGAGAAGGGTAACCTGTGTACCTGCCTTGCCCATGGCAAGGCCGATGTGAGCGCGGAGGAGAGCAGGAGCGTCGTTGGTTCCATCCCCTGTCACAGCAACAGTCTGAAGGCCACACGACTCACTGTCCTGGTCAGAGCGTTAGCCCGCCTCTTCCCTCCTTTACCACCCCTCGCCCTCCTCCTGCTCTCCCTGCTTTCCCTGCTCTTCCCGCTCTCCCTGCTCTCCCTGCTCCTCCTGCTCTCCCTGCTCTCCCTACTCCTTCTGCTCTCCCTGCTCCTCTTGCTCCTTGTTCCCCCTTTCCTCCGCTTTTCTCCTCACCTGGATGCCGCCAACGAGAGCGAGCTTGTCGAGGGGGGTAGAGCGTGCGAGAATGCGAAGCTTTGGGAGGATCTGAATGGATGTCAGTGAGAGGTCACCATGCGAGGGATACGAGGAGGAGAGAGGGGAAGGGGAAGGAGGAAGGAAGAGGAGGGGAAAGGTAGGAGGAGGAGGAGGAGGAGGAGGAGGAGGAGGAGGAGGAGGAGGAGGAGGAGGAGGAGGGCAGTATGACAGAGTTACCTGCTCGAGCTGTTCCATATCAATATCCTCCTTCTCACCCACGAGCTCTCTGAATTGCTTCCCGGTGAAGACACTCGCTCGCATCTCCTTCTCATTCATCTCTCTCTGAGGTAGAATGCCACATTTCTTGGCAATCTTGTAGACAACAGAGTCATCTCACTGCCTGCACTCCTCCTGCTTCTGCTTCTGCTTCTGCTGATGCTCCTGCTCCTGCTGCTGCTCCTGCCCCTGCTCCTGCTCCTGCTGATGCTCCTGCCCCTGCTCCTGCTCCTGCTCCTGCCCCTGCCCCTGTCTCCCTCTCCTCTCTCCTCTCCTTGACGTCCCTTCAATCCTTGTTCCTTCTCCTCCTTTCTTCCTCTTTGTCTCTCTCCCTCTCAGCTGATTACCGATATCGCCGTCTCCTCGTTGTCCCCTGTGACCATTCTGACGGTAATTCCTGCCTGCTGGCATGCTCGAATTGCCGCAGGAACTTCAGCACGTAGCGGATCCTCGAGGCCGACGATGGCGAGCTAATGAATGAGGTCAGGTAAGGCAATAACCTCCAAGATCCATGTAGCCTCCTCCCTCTCCCCCCCTCCCTCTCCTCCCTCCTCCCTCCTCCCTCCTCCCTCCTCCCTCCATTAAGGTAGCCTCGCCCTTCTCACATGAAACCTCCTCCCTCCTTCTTCCTCTACCAACTCTCTTACGCGCTTCTCTTCAATACATCTCTTATCTCCACAGGTCCTCACATGTACCTCACTGCTCAAAATTTCTTGCCAGCACGTCTGACTTGATGACCTGAAACCTCTCCTCATGTTCACATCTGCTCTTATCCTGTATCTGTCAAGTTTTTCCACTGATCTACATCTGCCTATCATCTGGTTGTTTCTCTCTACGTGTCTCAACTTCCACATCCTGTCTTCTTCCCATCTATGTCTCCTTCCCATCTATTATCATCCCTCTCCTCTCCTCTCCCACTCACCAACACCAGATCTCTCTCAGCAGACAGCTCGTCCACGTCCTCCTCCTCCTCCATGTCTCGAAACGCAACGGCGATAGGCCGCAACCCTTCCTTCCCCATCATACACGCCATCCCATCAGCTCTCGCTCGCAGCTCCACAGTCATGGGCTGATTGTCTGCAGCGACTGCAGCTGAAGAGGAGGAGGAGGAGAAGGAGGACGAGGAGATAATTCTTGAGCAAAGTGGAATCACAACCTCTGGTGCCCCTTTGCAGAAAATTCTCCTGCCAGTCATCACGGAGTCGATCCGATCAGTATCGTCCCCGACCTGAATTCGTTCTCAGTCTGCAAGGAATAGGAGGAGGAGGAGACGGAAGTTGGCGGTGGAGTCGGAGGAGGAGGAAGGAGAAGGAAGAAACAGGAGGAGGAGGGAGGAGGTGGAGGTGGTGGAGGAGGAAGGTGTAAGGGGAGGGAGGAAGGAGGAAGGAGGAAGGAGAAAGGAGAAGCAGGGAAAAGGAGGAGGAGGAAGGGGAGGAGGAGGAAGGGGAGGAGGAGGAGTCTTACCATCCATGGGACGATGGTGCTCATACGTTTCCGGTCAGAAGAGAAAGTCAGACATCTTCTCTTCTCCTGCTCCAACGGGAATTTTATCCGGATCATCTTGTAGGAGTGAACTCCTCCTCCTCCTCCTCCTGCTCCTTGTTCCTCAGTTTCCTGCGGGACAGAAGATCATCAATGTGCTTGTTGCCATGGGAAAGAGATGGAAAAAGAACAACGTCAAAAGATCATGGAGTAAAGGAGGAAAAGCACAGAAAGATCAAGGAGACGTTTGGAATGTAGGTCAGAATGACGGGGAATACAAGGAGTAGGGGGAGTAGCAAGGGGAGGAGGAGGAGGAGGAGGAGGAGGAGGAGGGGAGTAGCGAAGGGAGGAGGAGGAGGAGGAGGAGGAGGAGGAGGAGGAGGTAGTGGTGATATCGCAGGAGGTGACGGTAGCAGTTGAATAGCAATCGAGGAGGTAGGGGATGTTGAGCAGGGGACAAGGAGGAGGACGGCGGGGGGGGGGGACCTGGATATTCAGCAGCATGTCGACGAGTCGCAGAAGCGCACATTCGGTCTCGTTGCCCTGGGAGGAGGAAACTTGGCCATCACGGCTATAGGAGACGTTGGACTTGAAGGAAGTGTTGATCGCAAGACTGTACGCCAGCAGCTCCCTGACCCCGCGCGGCAGCTCAGCGAGAGGCTCCCCAGCCCTCCCCTCCTCGCCGAGGATGCAGTCCTGGCCGCTGACCCACACGCGCACCGCCGTCATCCTGCCGCTGGTGAGGGTGCCAGTCTTGTCGGAGCAGATGCTGGAGACGCTGCCCATGGTCTCGCTGGCGCTGAGATGGCGCACGAGGTTGTTATCGTTCATCATCTTCCTCACAGACAGCGCGAGGGCGACGGTGATGGCGAGAGGAAGCCCTTCGGGTACCGCAACGACAAAGATGGTAACACCCGTGATAAGATAGTCGAGTATCTCCGGCAGGTGTATGCTGTTGACCCACCGTTCCTTGCAGCACTCCCCGCGGACGAAACCCACGGAAAACCTCGCGAGGAGCACGAGGACTGTCAGGATACCTGCTGCTGCTCCTACCTTGGTGATCGTTGTCGTCATGCTGTCCAGCTTCAGCTGAAGTATGCTCTTCTTGCATCCCTCCATGTCCTCCTTCATCGACTCCTGTATGCTCGCCTGGTACGTGCTCGGCCCCACCGCCAGCACCACCATCTTCCCCTCCCCTTCCTGCACGAACGTCCCGGAGAAGATAGCAGGAGAAAGGAGATGAGCGCTAGGAGCACAGAGACTGCTTCCCTTCCTCTTGGGAGACGACTCCCCTGTAAGACTTTGCTCGGAGACCTGCAGGTCACTCTGGTCCAGTATGATCCCGTCAGCACATACCATATCGCCGGCACTGAGCAAGACGACATCGCCGACAACAAGATCCTTGTTCAGGACCTGCTCTACTGCACTGTCTCGGATGACAGTCACCCACACCTCCTCCTGTACTTCTCTGAGTGAACGGAACTGCTTCTCCTTGTGGTAATCGTTGACCGCAGTCACCGTCACCACCACCAGCACCGCAGCCAAGATCGCGATCCCTTCCACGATCTCCTGCGATTGGGAGGAGACAACTCCGATCACCAGCGAGACCAAGGACGCAAAGCAAAGGAACAGCAGCGAAGGGTCCTGAAGAGCATCCCAGGCGATCTTCAAGATCGAGTCCTGCGGCTCCATGGCATGCTCGTTGAGACCGAAGTCTTCCTGTCTCCTCAAGATCTAGAGGATGGGGTCAGCACGCGCATGGCGAAAGGATGGCGCAGTACCTCCGTCTTCTTGATGCCATTGGCTGCAGGCACATATGTCAGCTCTCCTCTCAGCTTCCACAAGAGACACCTGGGTCGCTCCTGAGCTTCTTCAGGATCCCTTCTGACCCCCCGAGGGCTTCGATCTCCTCGCGTATGCGGTTGCTGGACTACAGCAGAGGCGTGTCATGCTCGACCTACTGCGCCATGGCAGGCACAGGGCTACCTCGGACAGGAGAGACTCTTCGAAGCAGACTCGCAGGAAGCGCGAGAGGTCGTCGGCTGCCAGACCCCCGAACGTCGAGGAATCTCTCCTCATCCTTCAGCTCCTCCTATCACCCCCACTACTCACTCTGATTCATTCGCTCCCCACCTGCATCAGATCGTTCAAAGCTCGTCTCCCTTGCTGATCTCTCCGATGCCGATTGCCCTCCCCTGTCCTCTCCTGACCCCACTTGGCTCTCCCTCATCCCTCGTCCTCTCCTCTCCTCTCCTCTCCTCTCCACTCCTCTCCTTTCTTCTCCTCTCGTCTTGTCTCGTCTCGTCTCCTCCCTTTCCCTCCGTCCTGCTCTCCTCCTTTCCTTCCTGCCCTCCCCTAGCCCAGCTCTTGTCCCCATATCGTCTCTCCGATTGACTACCCCACCCCCCTCGTTGGGTCGAATTTCCACGGGCCCTTCCTCCCTACTACGCCCTTGAGAACAAAGAGGGAAGGAGAGGGGAGAGGGAGAGGGGAGAGGGGAGAGGGGAGAGGGGAGAGGGGAGAGGGAGAGGGAGAGGGGAGAGGGAGAGGGAGAGGGAGAGGGAACGAGTGAGGGTGAGAAGATGGGCTGAGGAGAGGAGAGGAGAGGAGAGGAGAGGGCAGGAGACGAGCAGAAGAGAGGGATGGAAGCGTTCAACTAGCATGACAGACGAGCAGAATAGGGAGAGGGTTACTGGAGCAGCAATTACAAGACTTGAGAACAGCGAGCGGAAGGATAGATGAGACACGAAAAAGGTCCAGAAGAATTGACCACGAGAGGAGAGGGGAGGGGAGGGGAGGAGAGGAGAGGAGAGGAGAGGTGAGGTGAGGGGAGGTGAGGGGAGGAGAGGGGAGGTGAGGAGAGGAGAGGGGAGGGGAGGGGACGGGAGGGGAGGAGAGGGAGGGGAGTAAGGACGAGGAGAGCGCAGGACACAAGAATCATCAAGACTGACAGGCCTCCTAGTTGCCTTGACCTGTTGCACATCGCAGATGCATCGAGCAAGCAATGCTGGGGAAGGATCGTCTTCTCGCGCTCCTCCTGGGGTACTGCTGGGTGAAGACAGTTCTGTGCTGAGCAAGAAGTTCCTGCAGGTGAGAGGCGAGGTGGAGCAAGACAGCGAGGAGGAGGAGGAGGACATGGAGGAGGTCGACGAGGAGGGAGACGACGGGGCAGAGAACGAGGAGGACGAGGACGACGTCCTTCCCCTGCAGGACGTGGACAGCGACGATGGTGAAGGAGGACACCTGGACAAGAATGTCAGCCTCGAGAGAGAATTCCAGCTGGGAAGGCACCTGGGAAAGCGCAAGGCAGGGGTCTCCTTCGGGCTTTCAGCCCAGCCCAGCAGGAGGCGAGCTGGAGCGGCGAGCAAGCGCATCGTCCCGAATCAGCAGATGGACGACATAGCGGACGACATCTGGAAGGAGCTCGCGCCGAGGAAGAGGAAGAGGAGGAGGAAGCGAAGGGGGCTGGCCCGAGGAGGTTCCAGGATGCCGCAGGAGGTGAAGGACAAGCTGGGGCAGGCGACCATGAAGTACGCCTTCGGGGAGTTCGAGGCAGCGATCGAGCTCTCTAAGGAGATCATTCGCATCCTCCCGCACTCCGATGTCTTTGCCCTGCTGGGGTCGATCTACGAGGCCAAGAACGAGCTGTCCAGCGCCCTCAGCTGCATCGTCATCGCCGCCCTGCTCAACCCCAAGGACATCAGCCTGTGGAATCGAGCGGCGAGCATGTCGAGAGACCTTGGCAACATCCCTCAAGCGATTTATGCTCTCAACCGTGCCATCAAGGTAGCTCGTCCCTCCTTGTCCTAGACCCCTCCTGCTTCCTTTTGCCCACCTTCGCTCTTTCTGAATTCTCTCCTCGCCGCAACCATCCCTGCTCCTGCTCCTGCCCCTGCCCCTGCCCCTGCCCCTGCCCCTGCCCCTGCCCCTGCTCCTGCTCCTGCTCCTGCTCCTGCCCCTGCTCCTGCCCCTGCTCCTGCTCCTACTCCCCTTTCGTCTCCTGTTTCTTTGTTCGCTTATCCACGCTGCAGGCGGATCCTGCTCCCGAGCTGCTGTGGGACAAGGCGTCCCTGCTGGTGGAGGTGGGCCAGACCAAGAGAGCCATCGACGTGCTGCACACCCTCCTTAAGAAGCTGCCGGCGGAGGAGTACGTGAAGATCTCGGAAGTGTCAAAGGAGCTCTCGCGCCTCCTCCACCAGTACGGGGACTCGCAGGCTGCTGTCAAGGTGCTGGAGAGCTGGCTGGACATAAGGGAGAAGAGGAGGATGCCGGATGACCGGCCCCGAACTTTCATGGAGTTCGAGCTGGACTGCGTGAACATGCTGACCGAGTGCTTCTTGATGCTGAAGCAGTCGGAGAAAGCTCTGAAGCTGCTGGGGAAGGTGAGAAGCTACCAGCCCAACGGGGACATGCCGGTAGACCTCGTGGTGAGGGAGGGGATAGCTCTGCTCCAGCTGGGCAGGGTGAGGATGGCAGAGGAATGCTTCCAGACGCTGTGGGCATACTCGATCGACGCCTGTGGGGACCTCTACCTTGACGTTGCTGAATCCTACCGTCAGGTTGTGATCCCCTCCTCCTCCTCCTCCTCCTCCTGCTCCTCCTCCTGCTCCTCCTCCTGCTCCTCCTCCTCCTCCTTATGCTGCCTTTGTTTTCCTCCTTCCTGCTTCTCTTCGTTCCCGCTTCCTCCACTTACTTGTCCCTCCCTCCTCCTCCTTGTGCCTTCTTCCTCCTTCGCGATGTCCATCCTCCTCCTTATGCTCCTTTCCTTCTGCTTCCTCCTCCTCGTTCTCCTTTGCTTCTCTCGCTTGTCCCTCCTGCCTCTTCCTCTTCCTCCTTGTTCTCCCTTCCTCCTCCTCTTTTGTTCTCCCCTCCTCCTTATGCTCTGACTCGACCCTCCTGCAGGCGGGCATGACCTCGAGCGAGATGCATCACCGGGCTCAACTTCTAGAGGCTGTCAGGATCTACAAGCAGCTGACAGCCACTGAGGTGATGCTGGAGGAGAGGACACAACAGATCCCTGAGCTCCTGCCCTCCTCCTTGTGCCTGCTTCCT